GCGGGGGGGGGGGGGGGGGGGGGGGGGGGGGAAGGCTCTCCAGTTTACCCTAATCCCACCAGGTCAGCTTCCTCGCCGCTGGTACTGCCAGCTGTTTCTCAGCACTGACTGCCACTCCTGGTTCAGACCCTAAAACTGCCTTTCATTCCGGAAATAAAAACCCATAATCGAATCTCATCAGGACGACGTTAAAACTCTCTGAGCCAACAAAATAAACCCAAAGAAGAATCTGAACAGAAAACACCACGTTCATGACTATAGGTCCGTTTGTTTCATCTCTTCACCCTTCCGGCTATGTTACGCTCCCTGCTGTAACTGACTTGAGTCCTTTCCAAGTGGAATGTCATGAATAAGTAAATCTTAGTGACGAGAACTTGCCATGTCACACGGTGACAGCAGCAAAGGACTCCAGCTTTGCTGCCCAATAAGCTGATGCTTGGACCTCAATCTCTTGCTGCCACCAAACTTGGTGGTATTTTTTTAAACGTTGGTGTGATGTCCTGACACCTCCTCCATTCCTATCAAGATATGGAATAAATCAGTGATCCTAAAACGGGCTGTAAATGCCACACTCAGCCTCTCAGTAGATTGTCAAACAGCCACAAGTCCGCTGCCCTTCCCCAGAACTGCTTACCCATTGCATTGAGATAATGGTTGAAGGCCTGGCAAGGAGGACTCGGGGTTTGTGTTGATTTGTCACAACTCATGGGTGCTGGGCTCCTGTCTGTGTCAAAAGAGAAATACCCACTGGAGGATCGAGACAGCAGGGAGGATCTTCTCACAAAGATGAAAAGCGGGGATCTGGTAGCAAAAGGCCCGGGGCTGGCCGGTGGGGCCAGCGGGCCCTGAGGGCTGCCGTGGGGGCAGCGGTCCCCTTCGCCTTCAGGATTACCTTGTGGCTCTATCTGTACGGAGCTGGGGGCCCCGGGCCTGAGCTGAGGAGGCCTCTCCGTGGGCTGTAATTGTCCACCTTCTCTGTCACACTCAGAACTTACATCAGAAGGTTGCTTGGCCATTTGGTCTTTTTTTCTGCAAGTAAAATAAAAACTAAGATTACCTTAAGCAAAATCATCACAACAAAATAACTAAATTAGCTGATTTTCATGTACTCCTTAGAAATTAAGAAATACTTCAACAGTAGGTCTATTTCTCTGCCCATCTTCCAGATAAGAATAAAAACACATGTAAAATAACAAAGGCGTTATTATTTGTGTTGGGGGCACTAAACTTCCTGCCACCAAACAAAAAACACTGACAAAGTCAATGACTGGCGGGGCTGGTGCTGGAACACAGATTCAAGCTTTGGGGGAGGCAGCAGGTCTGAAGCCTATTCACAGGGCTCTGTTCAGAGCCCACTGGACTAAGCCAGAACCTCCCGGGGACTCTGATTCCTTGGCTCCCAGGAATAGACCCTGCGCTTGGGGCACAGGAGTGCGCGCAGAGGCAGCAACTGCAGCCGGCTGGCCGCGCTCCCCGCTCCGGCCCCATTGTTCTGCCGAAAGTGCTGAGGGCAGCAAGTCTGGGGAGCTTTGGCAAGGGCCGTCCGTCGTAGTAAGTGCGTCACAATAGAGTTTGTAACTCTGAGCCCGCTCGGCTCCCGCCCGCCCGCCCGAGGTCCTTCCCGCGGGGGCAGCGCAACGCACCCACCCGGCAAAACTTTCCGCAAGTCCACCCGCACTGTTAGGTGAGCACCTCCAAATAGGGGGTCCCCGAAGCTGGCCCCGGGCGCCCCGACAAGTTTACAGTAACCCCGCGCGCTAGGCGACCCGGGGCGCGCGGCTCCCTCACCCTTAGATCCTCCCTCTCCCCACGAGCAAGCTAAAACTCA